ATACCAAAAGATATTACTAGGCTATTTATATCATCATATTTCAAAAAGAGAAAGTATTTATTTTTTATTGAACACACAACTCTATAAATGTATAAACTTGTTAATTAGCTATACACCTATTTCCTATACATTAACCAAACGACTTCCTACAAAACTTTTTCTAAAAATAGATTATCATCATCATTACCTCCGATAATAATAAAAAAATATTATTATTAGTTTGTAATAAATAAATTTACTTGGAATGTGTTTATTTTCATAATATTATCAAATATTATCTCTATTATTAGTTTGTATACCAAGAAAGACAGCTTTTTAATCTGTTGAAATAAACTTGGAAGATTTCTCTTAAGCCTAATTAAATAGATGGATCTATTTTTAACATCTTCAAAAACTAAAAACAAACAGACGATGCCCACACGGGGGGAAAATGTTATGTAAACAGAAGATTGTAAAAGAAATAATCTAAAAATATCTCCGTTTTTTAAATTATTTACTCACAAAGTTTTTTTTTTAAAGAAGCACTTTTAATATAGATACTTCTGATGTTAATAAAAACAAAATTATTTTTTAAAAATATTTTTATAGAAAAATTATTATTTATAATGTTAATTAATTAAAAGAGAGAAAGATAAATATTTTTAGAATTCAAACATATTCATTTCAGAATCAATAATTTAAAAAAAGTTATTTTTAAAGTAGTTTTTTTTTCTTCTAAAAAACTTTTCATAAGAGAGAAAGAAAGAAATTATTTTTATTGATTTTTCTATCCAAGAATAAATCTTTATATTGGGGTGGAGGAGATCAATAATACTTGAGATGTAGCAGCAATTAAATCTAAAATTTTCTATTTAGAAAAAAAAAATCAAATTTTTTGAAGTTTTAAAATCCGATAATCGTATTACATTCATGGACAAAACTTAAGAAAGTGGAAAATCTTTGATTTCACCCATCGTCTATTTTTTTAATGATACAGAATCAATTTTTAATTAAAGAGGCATATATTGGATCAAAATATCATTTATTTTACCAATATTTCAGTTGGCTGAACGCCAACCTTTATCAAGGTGTTAAAACATATTTAATTAAATAATATTAATAATAATTAAATTAACGTTTAGCCAACTGAAATATTGGTAAAATAAATGATATTTTGATCCAATGCCTTTTTAATTAAATATTTATTTATGGATTGCTCTATTTTCAAAAAGAGGCAAATTTGTTCAAACTTGGTTATCTCGTGTGTCTTCAATAAAGGTCACTGTGTATCAAATATATTTCAGAGTTATTGTCCCGATATACATGTTGAAATGTACAACTTCCTTAAGTTTTGTCTATGAGTGTCATTCAAATGAATATTCAACAGATTAAGTATAAGAAATATATATCTTTGCAAATTTTTACATTTCTTTGAATGTTGATGTGAAAATAATTCATATTTACTTTGGTGTTTTTTATTATGATATTCCTACAAGGTTATCCCAAAAGTTGGGAAACATTTGCAAAAAATTGAAATACCAATATTATTCGCCGTTATGTATAATGTATTATGTATAAAGTAATTTGTAAATATATAAAAAGTAAATATGTATAGACATATGTAAAGACATACATGTATGACAGCGCAAGTGTCCCTAGGGGGACATAGCGCTTTAAATTGAAATTTAAAAAAAAAAGTAATTGTGTTATGTATTATTATGTATTCGCCGTAATAATATTATTCGCCAAGTAATAAAAAAATTAACGGTTTAAGAAAAACACGAACTTATGCGACAACCTTATATTCATTTAACGCTGTGTGTTTGATGGCTCGGTAAGGAAAGGTAAACGAGAGACAAGGGTCAAAATTAAGATTGACAAAACTGAAAGATTGCAACTTGGGTGTACAACGTTACTCAAGTCTTATCTATTTAATGAAAACTCTGAAGAGAAGAGGAAGCTATACACATAATCTAATTGGTGTAAATAATTATATGTAAATAATCTTTGTCAGGATTAGAATGACGAATCCTGTATGGGACTTTGATTCCAGTAAAAGGCTTGTTGCTGCTGTTGTATATAGTCACAGTGTAGAAAATACTATACTATACCTACTACTTATAGGTTTCTCTCTGTATTCTTAGTTCTCTTCTCTTCAATTACTCTGTAAACTGGCGAATCCTTTATAGGACGAGAGGTCCTCAATAAAGGCTTTTGTTGTTGTTGTTGTTGTATTTAATGAAAACTACAAACCATTCAGGGTTTAGTTTATTTTACTTTGTTTCATTTCTTTATATTTCTGGCCAACATGCGCTTCAAAAGAAGATCTAGAAGTATGATTTCCATCTAATTATACACGGTTAGCTGGAAGTTATAGTATTCCTGTTGTAGTTGGTCCGAAATATAGAGAAATTTAATTTTAAAAAGTTTAAAAACTTAACCCTGGATGTGTTTTGTTGGTTTTATTAGATCATAGGTCGTGAACGAAGGTGTATTGTGACTCTTATCTCTCTCTCTTTTTTTAAAGCCTAATTGACAAGATGTCGATAAAAGTGTTCAAATGTCTTTCTCTCTCCTGGTCTTGAGTTGGGTAATGCCAGCCATCACCTAGACCTGCCCACTCTGTGGAAAGAACTCTCGCAGTCCATCGGTGACGGAATCTTTCCTGCGGTGGATGCTACCAATGAAAACCTTGTATAAATTATATATATATGTATATAAAGCAATACTTAAAGTTTAACCGCATAAGTTTATTTTATTTGTGAAAAATCAATTTTAATTTCAAAGAGAAATATCTAATATTTCTAACTTTTCTCCATTACGAACGGAGAAATACGTCCAGGGTAGCCTAGTGGACATGGCACCTGCCCGGTAAGCAGAAGGTTGTGGGTTCGATTCCCGCCCCTGGACACTTTTATTTTTCCGTTCGCCATTACTCTTCATATTTTCACCCTTCCATACGTCATCCAATCATATATAGACCATCACTCTTCATATATTCAACCTTTTCATACGTCATCCAAAAAGTTAGAAATATGAGATATTTCTCTTTGAAATTAAAATTGATTTTTCACAAATAAAAGAAACTTATGCGGTTAAACTTTAAGTATTGCTTTATAATCATACGCCGCAGTCATTTATAATGTATTATATATGTATATAGATGGAAATTTTTCCGGGAGGATATTGATCTAAAGGCGTCTGGTTCTGATGTCTATTTTGACGGGAGAGGCGACATTTGTTTCTTTATATATGTCTATACATAGCAATTATTTTATATTTTTCACTTATTTATCTATATTTTTCACTTATTTATATATATTTTTCACTTATTTATCTATATTTTTCACTTATTTAATCTTATTTATTAATTCGATTGTTCTATATTTAACTTTATATAATCTTATATATGAACGATTAATAATTCAGTTTCAATCTTTCTTTAATAGAACATGATAAGATATATGTCTTACTATAATCCCTCCTAGAATACACACGTTGTATACAGGCCATGATTTGACTGCCAGTGCACCACACGTGCACACCATAGTTAAGACGTGATTTAGTGAAACTCTAGAACACTTTCATTATACATAGAAGGAATTACCACTCACAACTTAATAACGGCGGTTAACCATTAGAGGCAATTTGATCCAATTATATGACCACAATTAATGGACGACAACTCATTAAGACAACGTTCTCGTTAGATAGATAATACAGGGAGACTCTAATGAGAAATCCTCTAATAGAAAATACTCAAGTTCACCATTAAAATGGGCAACACGTTGTAAAAATATCTTAGAAAGGTCTTTCAACCCTTTTAAATAGCTCATTGCGACATTTTTTACAAGATATTTGTCATTTCATTCTCATAAATTCTCAGCATGGAACTTTCTGGTCAATTGGTTCAACTCAGCAATCAAAACAGGACGCGAGTAAAAGCGCTCAACACAAGTTCATACTAGTGAGCTGGACGGGCAGTTGGGCGTTCTGCGCTCCCTGGGTTATAAATCTCTCTCTCTCGCTCATAAATTCCATTATGCGGAGTCCAGTGTCTTTCATAAGTTATGTAGTAATCGCAAATCGACGTCGTTTCAACTCATGGTCCCACATTTAGAACCTTTGTTCAACTGGAATGTTTCTCAATAAATTGGATTTGACTACAGCCATACCACGTTGAAAACAAAAATAAATTTGGCTTAGCCACTTTACCATCTAAACACCTCTTTGGTAGATTGTCAAGATTCCATTTGATTCCTTGTGGATCTCATGGAATAAAGTCCGCCCTAGGCTCATGAGGGCCATTATCCCGAAACCATGGTCTCTAGGTGGACGCTTCTGTTTGACAAAGCTGGTGTTGTGGCTTTGTAACCGACCCAAGGCCGCTAGTTTGTGGCGACGGTCAATAGATGGTGTCTATTTTTGACGTTTAATTTGAAGGGAGAGGAGCCCTCTATGCTTCTTTATAACAACAACAAAGACTTTATTAAGGACACTCGCCTCATACAGGATTTTCCCAGATGGGTAAACAGGTAAACATAGCAGTTATCTACAGAAAGTGGGGAAAAATAACATCAATCTTTCCTCAAGTTGGGTCATTCTTCTGTGTTTACACCTTTTGACTGTGCTTTTCTCCAGAATTTGTGAAAATTCAATGCAATGGTTCTGCTTTTTCACTACTTTTGTCAATAAAACATATGGCGAATTGTTTTCATAAGCAATCTTTTGGCGCAGAATTACTCTCTCATCCTTCAAAGCCGGATAGTAAAAACATTTAGTCATTGTTACAGGATTGCGGACTTTGACAAATTACAAAAAATCAAATAACGTCGCAATTCGCTTTTATTCACTTGAGCAAAGGAAGCTTTCGGGCAATCCCTTCTTCAGTTAGTTAGTTGAAGTTAGTTTCACTCTTGCTGAAGAAGGGTTTGCCCGAAAGATTCCTTTGATATATGAATAAAAAAGAGTTGCGGCATTATTTGATTTTTTTTTATATAAAACGTGTAGTGTGTAAATTCCTGGCAATATTCACCACGTTGTAAACACCGATTCACGTCCGATCACCGAAGTTAAGCAATGTGAGGCCTGGACAGTACTTGGGAGGGTGACCACCGGGTGTAGCTGTAGACTTGTGGCTGGATAATGTCTTTAGTTCCTTGTAGAGGGGAGAGTTGTTTATCCTGCTGCCGCCCCTCCTGGCCTCCCTCAGCTCTCCTTGGTGGTTAGCTGTATCCTGGGGTGTCTGTACCGCTGGTTTTGCGTTCGGTTTGCTTGGTTCAGCCATGAGTTAGGGGGATAGAAGATCATTAACTATTGGCCAATTATCCCGAAACAACAACAACCGCGCGCGCAGAGGAGAGATGGTTTCGTCCAGTACTTGCTGATTTCAACTGAGAGTAGAAGTTTATTACTGTCTGAGTGGGGAGTTGGTTTGTTGAGTGATATAAACCGTCCATTTTTGACCCTGGACCGAATCTTTATTGGATACTTTGTTTTTCTAAAGAAGAGAAATTGTTTCAATGAACCTCTATTCCTGCAAAAGTCAAACCCCACCAGTGAATGCAAGTAACCAAAATGAACTCTGGCACATTTATAAGTGAAAAATTCAAACTACTTTCTACATTTGTAGACACGTACCCACAGACAGTAAAATCAGTTGCTAAATACCCACCATGATTATCATGGCTTGTACCACATGCGCGTATACTTGAAATAAATAAAAATAAATTACCCCAAATCCACAAATTTACTTATTTTTTATGGATCGCATTTAAGACCGAGATATTTGTTTTTCTCAATTTAGGTAGGTTTGTTAACAAATGAATAGCGTCTTATTAACACAGTCATAGAGAAATCAGTAAAAATCATATTTTTATGTTTGTATGCCGTTAGGAAAATACTTTAAAAAGAATAAAAAATAGAAAAATGGTCAGGTGTTGATTATGCCAATCCAAAGGAAATGCCAATTTTGTTTAAAAAAAAAAAGAATAATTATTTAAAAACGGAGAATAGACACCAAATCGGATTTACAACCAAGAAATCTACTGTCTGTAAACTTGGTCTCATATCGAGAAATCAACAAATATGTAATCTCTCTTGAGGAGAGATTTCTGGAGATTACTAAAGTCGAAATATGTAATGAAATCATTTATTCATAATCAGTAGGATGAGATTAGAACAGTATAATTGATAGAAATATACAAATAAATTGGTCAAAAGTCTAGCTAAATTATACCAATATTCTACGAAATAAGAAAGAAAGATTCAAGAGAAGAAAAAAAAGGAGAGATAGGACTTTTCTACACTGACAATTTTATTTTTTCGAAGAAATAAGAACAAAAAAAACTTTTTTTTTTGTATCGCAAATTTAGGCAATTTCTGAAAGAAGAAAGAATTACAAGGGGAAAAAAAGAGAGAATTGTTTAAAACTAAAATAAGTTGCTATTGAACATTTTTATAAATATATTATGGAAGAAGGGGAAATGTTCGTTCTTTTTCTCTCTTTCTCTGATATGTAACTGGAAAAGTTTTGTTTTAACGGTGGAAAAGTTATTGCCTGGGAAAGATAATAGGGTGAGAGGGAGGGATGTGTTAGAAATGTAGACAATTTCTATGATAAGTCAAACACGATGTTTAATTCATCGAAACTTTATTCGGTTTAGAAGGCGAATGAAAAACTTTTTTTAAAAGACATTTCTAAAAAAATAAATTATTTTCTCACAAATTTATACTTTTCATATATATATTACGATTAAATTATATTTCAAAGAATAATTTAATTAAAAATTAAACAGTATGTGAGGAGATATGTAAAAAGAGCGCAGTACCCAAATAAAAAAAAATATTTTACACCCATAAACAAAAATTTTAAGAAGTGGAAAGTCTTTGATGTCACCGGTCGTCTGTTTTTTTTTTTTTTTTAAAGTAGACAGAGGCAATTTTGTTTATACTTGGTTATCTCGTGTGTCTTCAATAAAGGTCACTGTGTATCAAATATCTTTCAGAGTTATTGTCAGAATCCCGATATACATGCTAAAAGATACAACTTCCTTAAGTGTTGTCTCCATGAGTGTAGGTAATATTTCCATATACATGTTCATTCCAGACTTATAATTTAATAAAATCAGGAAGCAAAAGAAAATTGTAAAATGGTAATTAGTGATTTCATTAAATTTCCATATACAATATTCCATATTTCCATATATAAACATTTCCTGATAGATAACTTTATACCAGGGGTCGGCAACCTTATGAATTAGAAGAGTCAAAAATTACAATTTACAAAATTTCATAGTCTTTAAAGAGCCACAAAAGGTTTTTCTTGTCAACAATAAATAGTACTACACGGAGCTTCACATCCAAAGAGCTGGATCGCCAGCCGCAAGTTGCCGACCCCTGCTATATATAACCTATCTATATAAATATTCCAATCCCTGGACACTTTATTTTCTGTTCATCATTATTCTTCACAATTCAACCTTTCATACTTCATCCCTAATAACCCTTATTTCTCCTTAAAATAAATTTCGATTATTCGTTCAAAAAAACACATGCGGGATAAATGTCGTTCTACTACTATACAAAAGAATTGTTTCAAATCCAAAAAAAATACGCCTTGTTCAATTTTAAAAATTCGAATCAATGGATTGAAATATTTGCTTGAAAGAACAATACCTTCTGTTTGTTCTCAATCTCTAAAGACATATCGCCAGCAATGTAAGCACAATCAACAACAACGTAATACAGGCTGTGTTGAATTATCTATAATCTCCATTGTTGGCAACAACAATGTAACAATCTACAGAAGTAGGCTGCTCTCTAGAACTCCTTTCTCCAATTAACTACCGTCAGAGAGTGAGGGAAGATTTAGGATCGAAATCTCCTCTGGGAACATATGCAAATTGCCCTCAAAGTTGTTAGGGAATTAAGGAAAATTGGAGAAATCGGGTTTAGAGGCGGAGGAGGAGGAGAAAAGTGTCTTTAACGACTTAGCATCTATGGGTTATGTAATTAAATAGAAGGTTGGATATGCAAATATGGTGGGATTGGAGATACTTTTAACTGATGCATTACCGCGTCATCTGAACTTTGAACTATTTTTGACTCATATGATTCTTTTAAAATAAATTCATTTTCTAATGCATTTACTGCAATGATAAAATAATGGGAGGGCCTGGCTCATCAGTGATGAAACCTCCTAGCGGAGCCAGGCCCTCCCATTATTTTACTGAAACATCACACACTATTTATTTGGAGATTAGGTCTTATTACCTTATGTTTCTAATCTATAATCCATATTGTGTCTTATCAATAACAATAATGACTTCTTGAAAGTAAAAAAAAATATTTTATCGAAATTTTGTTTTCATGTCTTAGCCCAAACTCCAGCCGTTTTTTTCTCAAATAAACGTTTAAAAAATGGTCGTTTTTGAAAGAGGATTAAATGGCAACTTTAAGACGAAGTTTGATATTTCAGCTTAGATATATCCACCCATTTCTACGTCGCACGGGATAAATTTCTAAGTTTTATATTTGTTTAACGGTGTCTATCACACTGTAAATTACAGACTTCTTTCCGCTTTTTTAAAACTTATGTTTTTTAAAGACAAATTTCGATTATCAGTATTAAAAACTAGGTGAATCAAAAGGATTCTATCCTGGGATATCACGTGGTTACATTAAGAGAAAACTATCTCTTTATCGTTTAACTGAAAGTTGCTGATGGCTTTCACCATCTATCGGAATAAACTGTCTGGAATAATAATAATATATTTTTACTTATCCCTAGTACACGTGGTACAGGACATGATAATCATGGTGAGTAGAAGTAGGAGACTGCTTTTACTGTAAGTACACCACAAATCTACACATGTGAAAAGCAGTTCGACTTTTGCACTTATAAATGTGCCAGAGCCCCGTTTGGTTACTTGCACTCGCTGGTGGGGTTGAACTTTTACAAGAATCGGGGGCCATTGAAGCATTTTTAAAATTATTATTATTAGAAAAAAGTTCCCAATGTGGGATTCGATCCAGGGTCGTAGCGGTCGAAACTCAACGGTTTAGACCATCCTTCCACCGACCCCTATAATAATCAATATGCTTAGTTTCTACTTATTCCGACAGATGGCGCTAGTCATCAGCAACTCTCAGTTGTCTTTCAAGAGATGCATTCTTTCATAAAGTCAAACATATTTCCAAATTTATTATACATGTGTAAATTGAATTATTGATATACTTTATATATATCTTATAATACAGTCTGATAGACTGATAAAATAACCATATAAACTTAGAGAGAGTAAGCAAATAAAAACTATATATATATAACTCAATATTTTCCCGAATAAAAGACTATTTGAGAGTATATATATATATATATATATATACACAGTATATAAGTATATAAGTATTTAAATATAAAGGCATATATTGGATCAAAATGTCATTTATTTTACCAATATGATATTTTGAATCTATATATGCCACTTTATTCAAAGATTTATTTATGGATTGCTCTATTTTCAAAAAAAAAAAAATATATATATATATATATATTGTGAAACTATTTATATTAAATCCTTTTCTGAAAGATTATTTCTAAATCCCCTCGTGTGTCTATGAATAAATAAATCTATCAATTATTTAAATATAATATACAAGAGTCTAGAAAACAGTTTATACATCACACAACTAAGCTACATATATTTGTTATAATGTTTTGTTGAAAAGATAGAGAATTTAAGGTGCAGTCATGAAAATATAAAAGATAGTTATTTACTTATCAAGTAATTTTTATTTTCAATTTTACTTGAAGCAAATTATACTTTAAAATTTCGATTTTTCATTCAAAAGAAACATTTGCGGTATAATTGTCAAATTTCGTTCTACAATCATAAGCCGCATTATATTGTATTATAAATTATACGTTAAATATTTATCACAATTATATAGAATTTATTATATGAATCCCCTATATTATATACACTGCGTGACATTGAAAATGGAACACCAAGAAATAGTGGCCAGAAAATTATGCAAATTTCAGGGTAGACGCGCCTAACCGAGTTATGCAAATGATGTAAAATGCGCAGCTCTCGTGCGCACATGGAGTAAGATATAAGGGAAGGAAC